CCCCCCCCCCCCCCCCCCCCCTGCTGAGAACAGCCTGGGGTAAGCCCTGCTTTCCCTTCCTGAGCCGTCGGATGGTTTGCCAGAACCTCCTTGAGGCCAACCGAAAGTCCTTCTCCATGGCCTCCCCGAACTCCTCCCATGCCCGAGTTTTAGCATTCGCGACCACCGCAGCTGCAGCCCTTCTGGCCTGCCGGTACCTGTCAGCTGCTTCGGGAGACCCCTGGGCCAACCAGGCCTTGAAGGTCTCCTTCTTCAGCTTGACGGCTTCCCTCACCTCCGGTGTCCACCACCGGGTTCTCGGGTTGCCGCCACGACAGGCACCGATGACCTTCCGGCCACAGCTCCTAGCGGCCGCGTCCACAATAGAGGCTTTGAACATGGTCCATTCGGATTCCATGTCCCCAACCTCCCTCGGGATGTGAGAGAAGTTCTTCCGGAGGTGGGAGTTAAAGACCTCCCGGACAGGGTCCTCCGCCAGACGTTCCCAGTTCACCCTCACTACACCTTATGTTCGAACATGGTGTTCGTTATGGCCAAACCGTGGCAAGCACAGAAGTCCAATAACGAGACACCATTCGGGTTCAGATCGGGCAAGCCGTTCCTCCCAATCACCCCCCGCCAGGTTTCTCCGTCATTGCCCACGTGAGCATTGAAGTCCCCCAGGAGAACTATGGAGTCGGTAGGTGGCGCCCTTTCCAGGACCCCTCCCACTGACTCCAAGAAGGCCGGATACTCTGAACTGCTGTTTGGTGCGTAAGCAACAAACCACAGTCAGAGCCTTGCTCCCCGCAACTCTTAGGCGCAGGGAGGCGACCCTCTCATTCTCCGGGGAGAACTCCAACACAGCGGCGCTCAGCCGGGGGCTCGTGAGTATCCCCACTCCCGCCCGGCGCCTCTCACCCTGGGCAACTCCGGAAAAGGACAAAGTCCAACCTCTCTCCAGGAGCTTGGTTCCAGAGCCAGCGCTGTGTGTGGAGGTGAGTCCAACTATATCTAGCTGGTATCGCTCCACCTCCTGCACCACCTTCCACGTCCCTAGAGCTAGTCTATGCTGCCAGCGATCGGCTCACCCAGGCCTCCCGCCTGACCCACCGCCCGGTCTGCATTGCACCCGACCCCGATGCTTGCCCCTGCGGGTGGTGGGTCCACAGGGTGGCTGCTCCGTGCTGTTTATTCGGGCTGAGCCCGACCGGGCCCCATGGGCGAAGGCCCGGCCACCAGACGCTCGCCGACGAGCTCCCCTCCTGGGTCTGGCTCCGGGAGGGTTCCCCGGTTTCCCTGGTCCGGGCAAGGTGGCTAAAGTCCGTGGGCCGCTTATCATTAGGGTCGTTTGAACCGCTCTTAGTCTGGGCTCTCCCCCGAGACCTGTTTGCCTTGGGAGACCCTACCAGGGGCTAATGCCCCGGACAACATAGCTCCCAGGATCACTGAGCCACTCAAACTCCTCCACAACGTTAAGGTGGCGATTCGCGGAGGAGGATGATGAGGTCAAAGAGCTTCAGGGAGAGGAGGCTGGGTGTGTAGCGCAGCTTGATGCAGGGCTGAGCTGTGAGTGGAGCTGGGCCTGGATAAAGGTGGACAGATGTGAAGGGAGAGCAGTACAGCTTCCTGCTGTCACGGTGTTTTAAATACATTGATAAGGCAGGGTATGCTAAATGCAGCCTCTGCTCCATGAGATGAACTACAGCAACAAGGGCTCACATGCCCTCTCATCACACTGTACACACTGTTCACTGTGATGACCACAGCCAGTGTACTAACAGTCCCAACAGTCCCACGTTGCTCCCAATAACCCTGAAGTAATGAGGGTGTTAAGGTGCCTGTACCTTCATTTCAGCAGGTTGCTAATGCAGAGGTGTGTATAGATCACAGCAGTGGTGGCTGGTGGAACATTTTCTAGGTAGGGCCATCCTATCAATTTCAGCAAACATCCCAGTATGATTTAATGCAAAACAATTAAAGTATCTAACACGCATTACTACTTTGCAGTTAAATATTTAATATTTATTCCAACCCAAAAAAAACAGTAAATAACACTTATATAATATAATATAATATAATTTAACATGTTTATTTATTGAGATGCCCCTATGGACCTTTTTATAGGAGGTAAAGATCAGGAGAAGTAAACATGAAGTGTAATTATGAATACTGATGTTAAATTAAGCTATGATGAGTTTTCACTGTTAATTTACCATCTCAATTAAATGTTGATGCCTCCATGACCAACTTAAGCAGATGAGACTGAGGACAACTATGCAGAAGAAAAGATGTTCACTTTGCCTAATATGTAGCTTGACAGAGTTCTCCATGTGTGTCCTGGTGTTCTCATGTTTCCTTACCTCCTCATCCCTCACTCCCTAACTGTCATCCTGGATCTGTCCCCGTTGTTTTAAAAAGCTAAATAAGTTATTAGCATGACGTCATCTTGCTAGCCAAACCTGTCTGGTGTACAGTAGAGAAGCTTCGCATGTACTGCTTCCCTTTCCCGCTAGTCTGCTGTCTGATTGTGGGGTCAGGCTGATCTGGGATCAGCTCTTTGGTCTGCAGAATCTCCGCTAAAGTTCTCCTCTCAAACGAGACTTGGAGGTGTAGTGCTCGTGCTGGCGCTCGCGCTCGCCTGTAGAGACTTCTCCTGATGAGAACGCGCAGCTAGGCGGGCCAAATCGTTTTGGCCCGCCTAGCTGAATCTATTTGAGGGCGCTGATTGGCTAAATTGTATGTCACTCATTTATATCTTTAATCAGCAATTGGCTAAACTGCTTCATAGACCCGCCTCTTTTGGGCCAAAACGATTTGGCCCCCTAGCTGCGCGTTCTGAGACGTGTCGTGCACACAGGCGGAGGGCACGAGCAGGAAAAGCATATATTTTGCGCAGATATCATATTTTACACATATTACTGGGTACATTCCATAGTTCAAACACACAAATATTGACAATTTGTATAATTTATTATTATTATTGACCAGCCGCCACTGGTAATGTGGGTTTATTACCCCTAAATTAAAAGGATTTAAGTTATAATAACAGAAATGTGCTGAAATATATTTTTACATTTATATAAATGCATGTACAATATTTTTACACTTGACTAAACAATAATCAAATGCAGAGACGGTTATTTACCAATATGTTAGGAGTAGTTACATTTACACTGTCTTACATTTACGACCGGCCCTTTGAGGGAAACCGTGATGCTGATGTGGCCCAGAGTGAAGATGAGTTTGAGACCCCTGGGATAGACTAATAGAAAAGGGGACGTAACTGGGTCTATACAGTTTTGTGTGGACAAGGTGAATGACATGTCACGCGTTGATGCCTCCCCAATGCCCCGGGTCGGCGACCTCCTGCACCGGCTTTGTTTTCCAACATAAATCAGCGTTTTCAGGTGAAGTAGGCTGAAACCGAAGTTTTACCTGAACAGGTATTATGGCATTTAAAGGGAGACTTGTTATTCAACCGGATGGAGGATTTGAACGTCGCATTAGGCAATTTTCTAGTTCTGACTTTTCTTCTGTTGTGAGGAAGGAGAACTGTGCTATGCTGTGTAGTTACGCCTACAATGTGTATGTAGCCCGCCCAAGCCTGCCTCATGTTTCCGCTTATCAACAAACAACCGCAGGCAGAACGTCGTAACTTCGGAGGTTCGTAATGTCTTGGTGAATTCAACTAGCGTTAGCTCCGTAAGAAATCTCTTTCGGCCGACCCTCCTGACTACATCTGAACCAATGAGAGGGCTGATATTTGATGCTCCTCCAATCAGCAACCGCTACAGGCTACTCTGTAGCAGGATCCTCCCCACCAATGTAGTTTATCCTATTTTGGCGGCTGTGTGGAAAACATGGCGGAAAATTTGAAAGGTAACTCATGAGGACTACATATGATTTTATATTCCATTATACGTTTGTTTACTTTTGTTATTTGGTAATATATGAGCGTAAACCTTTTAAAGACCCCAAATATGCACGCTCTTTTGCCTTGGACTTCACGTAACATGAACGAGAGCGGTGGAATTGTACAATAGGTGACTCCAAGAAGCCAAGTTATTGTCCGAAGTCCATGCTGTTTAACGCAGCCTCTTTAGTGGGGACATTATACGCTTGTGAATTCAGATCAACTTTGAATAAGCTTGGAAATAATAACGTTACTTAATAACGGAATTAGTTAGTTTGGCGCTTACATTTTAGGGACAGGCTGGGTGGTTTGCGGGCTAAACTGTTAAGTTCCACGCGCCATGCAGCGCCACGTACATGTTTGAATGGTATTAATGTGTAATGGGCAAATATTTGATGTTGCCGTGAGGTGTATGTGTGGGACGATTATATTGCTGACGACTGGCATCGGCTGCGACTCGGTGTCATCCTCTAACGTTACTGCCGTGTTTGGCGGTAAAACGCGGAGTTATCAGATTGAAAATGAGATTTTATTGAGATACAACGCTCTTCATTGTGTTATATGCAGGCCGAATTAACCATGCTTCCAGACAATGTAAATAGGCATGTGAGATCGCTTTGCAGCTCCAGCAATGAGCAGTGACATCTTAAATCGACTGACGTGTAAGTGGGGTTTGGTGTAGCCGCACTGCACTGTACGCCTAGTTAAAGGGAGTTGCTGTGTCAGATTGCAGCGTGCCGTGGAAGATGTCCTGGGATGAGCTGGAAGCGCTGTGTCGCAGAGAGAGGCTCTACTGTCAGCAGCTCGGAGTGAAGAGAGCCAACGTCAACGAGTTTGATGTGGAATTCCTCTGCGACTACAAGAGGACGAAGGTAATAACACGTGACTGTTTACTACCCATCAGCAGCTCATCTATGGTACATGGCCTGTGGTAAGACAGGTAAGACATTACGTAACCTGTACACGTTACATTGACTTATCTTCTGGACACTGTCCAGGCCACAAGTATTCCTTTCTTTAAAGTTGTTGTACAGTTGAATCAGCTCAAGATAATAACATAAATATAGCCACCGGTTATTACACTTTTCCCTGTGTTATTATTACAGCAATAACCACTGTATAATTCAGAAGTTCCTACACGCTCACAATCAACCGTAATTGGCCAATGCAAACTGAAAGTGTTACCTTCATTTTCACAGTGGATGCATGTGTGCAGGAGGTAAAGATGTGTGTGTGTCAGCACAGTCATGCGTTCACTGAGCAAAAACTAAATCAGAATCGCACACTGTGAAATATGCACAGTATTAACAGATTCTGTTCTATTTGATTAACGTGGTTGAATCAGGTGATTGAATATCAGGAACAATATCAGAATCCTGCCACATCCTAGCTGACGGATGGACCACCTGCAGCTCAGGCCATTTGAGTTGCCCTGTGCTTGTGGAATAATTGGTGGCTTTCACAAATACAATCGACACCTTTTACATTACAGTCATTTTAGCAGAGGCATAGCTACGGGAGCAATTTTGGGGGTTAAGTGTCTTGCTCAAGGACACATCGACATGTGACTAGCTGAGCGAACCCCCAATCATCTGATTGAAGGACGGCCCTGCTCTCCACTTAGCCACGGTCGCTCTACATGAAAGTGAACATAAAAAGATGCCTTGATAACTTAACTATATCCATGCATAATGAAACGTGATCTAATGTGTTTTATCCAGCGACTCTTTTTATCTCCCTGGAAGCAAAAGACCGAGCAAGTTTGTGTGCGTACATACTGGTATGAAACACACAGGCAGTGTAGCCAGAGACGTCACTTACGCAGATTTTTTGTGTGTGGTCTCTGTAATTGTGTATTTTCACAGTCTTATACTTATACTACAGTTTTGATGTGCAAAGATTGTCTTTGAAATTGACAAACCTATCAAATCATATGTTTAATTAACGGCACAATCCAAACTAGATCAAAACGTTTTTGTCCCTCCCCACTAACTACCAGACATACCTTTTCCAAAATAAGCACCTTTTCCGGTAGTCCACTGGACAGTGCCTCTCTATTGTGAAGTTAGAAAGTTACAAAACAGCATTCTGAGTAACTTCTCTTCCCCTCTCTCTGTTGCTCTCTCTCTCTCTCCAGTCCGCTTGTCTCTGTCTCTCAGACCTCAGTCCTGGTAATGGTGCTACATTTCAGGTGGTTGATTAACGCATATATTTGTTAGGCAGTGTGGATTAGCTCTCTTAACGGGTCAGGTGATTGTGAGTAATAAGATCCCCTGACCCATGCATCACTGAAACAGGAAGCTGTTCCTAGTTAAGTCTGCTTCCAGTTTGTTTTACCAAAGACTGCTGATTTCTTCTCTTTGTATTCAACTGTTGCTCAGAGGATCTTTGTCTCTTTCTGCCTTTAAATTGTCGGTCTAGTTGAACCATTGTACAGCGTTTTGTTCTCCATTCTGTTAAACAACATGCCATCTATTAGTAAAGCTAGCTAAACGCATGAAAGACCATTGAAGCAGACATCTGACTGGAACCAATCAAGCTTTGTAGAAGGAGATCAGAAAGTGGCATTCTGTCACACAGTGCAGATCAGAAAGTGCTTTATCTGGAGGTTTTTCAGAAAGAGAATGAACTGGTCTACATGTTTACAACTTTCAGCAGCCACAGAGAGATAAGTGCATTGAGGTTTCAGGCCACACCATATACACCTTTGAAATTGGTACGCCTTCACCCTCACAGAGGGCTGACAGGCAGATGAAGACTAGCTGGAGAGAACTGAATTAACAATGCACTCGAGAGGCCTGGGATGGAATTCATTAGATAGTGAATACCAAAGATTTGTCTGATAGGAATAGTTTGAATCATTGTAGTCATATCTTAAGCATGGCATGCTGGTTTAGGGCTGTGAGTTGTCAGACCACTAACAACTGTTGTCTGTGCAGATATAAAGAAGGATGCATTCAATGGAATTGAGAACGAATACAATCTTTGCCCTTAATTGAAGTGGTGTGTTTCAGGAGGAGGAGTTCTACCTGGTAAAGTGGAAGGGCTTCCCAGAGTCTGATAACACCTGGGAACCCAAGAGGAACCTCAAATGCCCCAAACTGATGAAGCAGTTCCACTTTGACCTGGATCAGGAGCTGAGGCGCCACAAGAGACGCTGCACCCCTAAAAAACTGGATAAGGAAGTTGCCTCATTCCTCGTCCAAAAAGCCAAAGTTCGTAAGCATCTGCAGCGCTGGGAGGCCCATTTGAACCAGACACGCAACCACCCGGGTCGCATTTATGTCATGAACGAAGTGGACCTTGAGGGCCCCCCAAAAAACTTCAGATACATCAACAACTACAAAGTAGGCCAGGGCATCGTGTTGGATGAGATGGCTGTGGGCTGTGAGTGTAAGAACTGTTTGGAGAAGCCCATAAATGGCTGCTGCCCTGGGGCCTCCCTGCACCGCATGGCCTACAATGACAGGGGGCAGGTCCGGGTCCGGCCGGGACAGCCCATATACGAGTGTAACTCCCGATGCAGCTGTAGCCCCGACTGTCCTAACAGAGTGGTGCAGAAGGGCATCCAGTTCGACCTGTGCATCTTTAAAACGGAGAACGGCCGGGGATGGGGTGTCCGCACACTGCAGCACATCAAGAAGAACACGTTCATCATGGAGTATGTGGGAGAGGTAGGACCTGATCAGAAACAGGTTTCAGTCATTCTGTTCTGTCATCTTTCACTGTTTGACTTAATACAGCTTACTCATCTAAAGACCACAGGATGACATTTATGTCCCCACCACAGCCACTGCTGACACAGTGTCATGTTAAAGTAGTAGTAGTAGTATGACCAAGCCAATCCTCCTTTATAGATGGATTGCTATTGGCTATATACTGTACTGTAGCCCTTCTTTTGTTTGCTTCTGGTATGTCAAAACATTTCCCATCATGCTTCATTATCATCAGTGAGACATGTGCAGAGTGCACCAAATAAATAGAAGCCAGCAATTACAGATATTGATATTACAGAACTGATGGAGCTGCTTGATCACTTTGTGTGAACAGGTGAACCACACATCACTCACATGTGAACTCCAGTATTTTGTTCATGCTGGGGTGAAGAGAGGCTGAAGAAATCCTGTCCAAAGGGAGAGGACATCTGTAATAACATCTTTTAGTGCATAACATATTATCTTCATATTTATTGAAACTAGATAAAAATCTTTAATTATGAATCAATTTAAAGCTTGATGATACAATACACTTTGTAATTAGCATCATCAACCAAGTACTTGACGACATAAAACATTATAGCTTGGGGTGTGACAAGAGAAGGTAGGACACAAAATGAAAAAAGTAGTAAGAATGAACAGAGTTACAGTAAATGGTTAAACCCCACTGCTGGAAAATCCAAACAGGACATGGACGCTTTGCAAAGAACAAACGCTATGGAGCTGCTGGTTGCTCTCTCTCACTCATGCTATTAGATCAGGAGGAGGAATTAACAATCACATGCTTTGTTTTCACATCCAAACACACACCTACTACTATTGCACTGCTAGCCAACGTCAAGATGAGTTATCGAAAAACTTTTAGTTTTACAGGGAGGGAAAATAGATTTTAAAAGAGGCATTTTCATATCAAAATACTTGTATTTGAGTCTTATTTATATAACCGTTGACTGGCAAGATGAGTGCCTTGCATGCAGTGGTGCTGTGGTCATTTATTGCCAGCTGCAGTTATGCAAAGTATGAAGTTAGCTGCAAGTTATACGTGTGAACGTAGCAGTGCAGTGTGTGTATATTTTATTTGTCAACGGATAAATGCTACAACTCCTCAAGACCATAGACTGACGTAGTCACCGTGAAGTCACCCATTGGTGTCTGGACTGCCGTTTTAAAGCCTTGAATTCGTCATTCGTCATTTCGGCAATTGTGGCTATTGTGGCTCAGGCTCACTTAAGGCGGACTGACCTTTTAAGGTGGACCAGCTGTTCTCCTTTAACAACAACAAGCCGCTCTTCTTAATTTGCTCAGCGTTTAAATATCTCTTTGGCTGGTGCTGCTGCTCTCCTTCATTTTCTAGTCATTCAGTGTCCATGTTTGGCCAGTGCTGATGCCACTTTAGTTCTATACTTCTCTATATGGATGGTTCTGAACATTGTTTTGTTTTTTTAAATTGATATTTTCTGTGGCTGAGCTTGTGCGAGCTAATATTGACACTTCCAGTAAATATCTGGAGTGAGTATCTAAGCCTTTTTTTAATCAACTGTTGCTTTTGTGTTGTATCCTAAACTGACTGGTACTGGTCCATGTCCTGCTTCGTTTGCTTCAGATCATCACAACCGATGAAGCAGAGAGGAGGGGTCATGTGTACGACCGCCAGGGCTCCACATACCTGTTTGACCTGGACTATGTGGAGGACGTGTACACGGTGGACGCAGCTCACCAAGGCAACATCTCCCACTTTGTGAACCACAGCGTGAGTGTCTTCAGACTGAGCACAGAATCTACTGTCTACTGTACTGCAGGCAGACCACACTCAGGTTCAGGTCTCTGTACCTGTGTGCATCTCAAAGCTTTCAAACAAGGCCTGTCATAATCCTTCTTTATGAGACACAGTCAATAATTAATAATTAAGATAATAGAAGTCAAGTCAATGTCAACCTTGTTGATGGTGTAACTTTCAGTGTGTGTGCATAGCTCCTCCTCTCCTCCGCACACACACTTTATAAATACGCAGTTTTTAATGTTCATTAGCATAGCATAATTTTAAGCTCCTGACACATGTCATGTTGTTTTTGCAGTGTAACCCCAATCTGCAGGTATTTAATGTGTTCATCGACAACATTGATGAGAGGCTCCCAAGAATCGCTTTATTTTCAACACGGGCTATTCGGGCAGGAGAGGAGCTCACCTTTGACTACAAGATGCAAAGTAGGTGTCATTGATTGAGCAGATTTAACATTGGCATTAAAGGTACAATATGCAGCATTGTATAGAAAATAGTCCCACTAGAAGTGTGTATCTATATTTTGCTGTTTGTGGGGTCAGAACCTTTGGGCACAGTGGGGGTGTAACCCTCAGCCAACAACAGCGCTCAGCGTGTTCAGCCCGCTGAGTCGTCAAACCTCTGAGTCTTGACACCGAGTACCCTTTAGCGTCGGTTCGATACAAAGCAGCGGTGTTTGACGACCAGAGGGTTGTTACATGGCTGGGTGTTTCATGTGCTTCAGTGTCTCCGCTGCTCTTCATCTCTAGTCACAGTCTAGTCCTGTGTAATCATGTAATCAGCAGTCACTCACATACAGTAATGATATGTGAGTCATCCAACAAGCAGCTGAATAGAGCCCAGCTGATCCTCAGGATCAGTATCTGGACCGGTCAGGGCATATTTTATAGATCTGTATTTGCTCAAATAAAGCTGACCACAATATGATCCTTCCTCCACTAAACAGCCTGATGGTGTTGCTAGTACAGACTGTGCTGGGAGAAGTATTCCCATCCTGTACTGCTACTAATACTAATGGGATGAAAAGCAAAGTAACTGAAGCTGTCAGACAAATATAGTGGAGTAAAAAGTACAACGTTCACCTCTGATTCAAATGGAAATACTCAAATCTGTAGTTCAGTACAAAATATGTGTACATGTACTTGTAGTTAAATTCCAACAATGGAAGAAGTGACACTGGTATTACAAGTTCATGTCAGAACACGCAGTTCCCTACAGGCCAACATGCTATTCTTGTACTTCTTTCATTCGACACAATGGTACAAGTTTCAAGATTAGCAGGGTTTTGTTGTTTTTAGTGGAGTTTAAAGAGCAACTAAATGTACTTGTTTGAGTGTTTAGGTAAGTTATGTGTATGTCATCTAGACAAATATAGTGCACCACACTCCTGAATTAAAGGGCACCATCACACTCCCAGCCGTCTGATCTCTACACAGATTCTGCATTCATGCTAAGGGACAAGATTTTGGTTTGTGTTTGTAGTCGGAGCGGTCTGACCAGTCACGTTCGAGCCGTCTTTGGCTGAATGCAGGTAAACAGTCCGTGTGGAGAGAAGAAGAGGCCACCGGTCTGTCCTGTAAACTGGAAACAATTCGGTCACCTCTTAACTCTAACTCCAGTCTCTCTTCTCAAGATGAATGGGACTGTAAACAATGAGCAGCGCATGCAACAGGAAGTCTTGGCCTGGATATCAGCTGACTCCACCATAACAAATAGAGGCTTCTCCGTCATCAGGCCCACAGCTGGTGGCTTCTCATGCTAGTCGTCTATATACTGTGAAGGGGTTGTGTTCAAGCAAAGTCAAGTTACTGGCTTTTCAACTGAGCCTTCTGTTTGTTTCCAGTTGATCCAGTGGACACAGAAAGCACTAAAATGGACTCCAGCTTCAGTGTAGCAGGGCTCCCCAGCTCTCCCAAGAAGAGGATTCGAGTGGAGTGTCGGTGTGGATCGGACTCGTGTCGGAAATACCTGTTCTGACAAAGGACTGCTGGGAACGCATCACTCTCATCTGTGTCGAGATGGACACAACTGTACAGATTTGTATATGAATTTTTTAATTACCTTTTTGTTTATGAAAGCTAAAATTCACCATTAACTTTTTAAATGTGAACTTGACAAACCCTTCCTAGATGAAAGCCACAGTCCTTGGACAGAATGGAGAGCCTCTTGTTCCCAGTGATTTGGGGCTGCATCAGTGGATTACTGGAATGCCTGATCCAGTGATTTTAAACAAATAGCTCAGTGAGCATGTACATTAGCTCTAGAAATGTATTCTACCACAACAGGACCATTTGCCCAAGTCTTTTCATCACTTAAATGATGATTCCAGGTTATTACAGTTTTATTCTACCAGTGAAAACGTTATTCTCTCAGTGTAGTCGCTGAGATCTGGGAACACAACCACATCATCAAAGCAACACGAGCAGGTCTGAGTCAAACTCCGTTTCACAGAGAAAACATCCTTCACAGTTTACAGACACCCACTTCCTGCTTCAGCTTTGACCTGCTGTACTTACTGTAGTGTGCTGTGCAATGAGGAATTAGTAGCAAGTCCAGTCCAGCCTCTAGAGAAAGACGTTTAACTAATCAGGATCAGTGTGATCTTCTGACGGCTCGTCTTCACCTCCTGGGATTCTTTTTGTGCTCACAGATCTCCGTTATTTACTTGGTGAGTGCAAAGTCACAACTAGTAGACATGATGGACAAAAGTATACAAATGAGATCCAAGTTGAAACAGTCTGGAATGATGTTTTTAAACTACTGCATAGTTTTAATGGTCCACTTCACCCTGTGTTGATGTCTTGAACGGTTCACACCTGAGTTCCAGAACGTCAACACTGAGCTCAGAGGACATTTAATCAGTAATTCTCAGCTGCTCGCAAATGACTCCTTTGTGTTTTGTTACTTCGATTGACTTAAATGATCAAACATGGTCACAACAGGTACCACACTCTACTGAAATACTGGGTCCGGATAAAGGGCCAGTGCTGGGTTTGCTCATACAGATTGAACAGGCTGTTCTTGTACCATACACCATGTGTATCCCCAATCGCTCCCATGACGACTGATAGAAGAGGCTCAGTGTCTTAGAACTCAGCAGGTAAATCTATCTGCATGGCCAACAGGGAAAAGTCCAAACATGTCTTGGTGATTATGGTGAAGAGATGGGATCACAATGATGTTTTTTTATCTGTACAGTATCTATTCTGTGGTCAGTAGGTGAGTCTCTTACCGTGTTTACATTTAAACGCTGTAGTTGTTGGTACTTCAGTGCATGACTTTTTTATAGGTGGAGAAGAAAAATAATGTAAATAAATGGATCGAAGATAACTGATGCTTTCATGTTTTGATTTTTGTATTTTTACTCTTTTTTTAAAAAAATGATTTCATTTATTTGTTTTCACAAGTGTTGTATATGGAGAGAGACCAGAGACTAAGTGTTGGCATTGAAAAAGGAAACGGCAGTGAAAAAAGTTCCACAGAAAAATGAATCCATTTTTGAGATGACAGTCTTTAGATGGACATGATATCCTTTCGTCATGTTACGCTTTTTTATCTTTCACTGTTCCTTGTGTTTTGGCATGGAGGGGAGGGTAAGGGGAGTTGCATATACATCACCTTTAATGCCTGTTTTTTGTCAGTACCCATGTTTCCCTTTTTATGCCCAATTTTTAATTTCAGTTTCAAAGCGTACTGTCACTGTTCTAGCTCCATATGGAGAGGGCAGAGTTCATTTTCAAAGTATGTTTTCAAAGTATTTTACCACTAGATGGTGCTTTTGACCTGCTATAGCTGTCGGACACATTATACAGAACATGTTTGAGTTTTCTCCTTATACAGAACTCTGTTCTAACAACCCCCACGTTGTTCTGCTTCATATCAAGAAATACGTGAACTACTCAAACTACACTTTCTCTATAAAACAAATGATGGAAAAATGTAACGCATAAAAGTTGATGTGATGTTTTTCAGACAGGGAGGGCAGGTCCTTCATACTGGAGCCTGATGAACCTGCACAGATGAAACATGTTACAAAATAAGATAAGATAATCCTTTATTAGTCCCGCAGTGGGGAAATTCACAGGATCACAGCAGCAAAGTCAGATTTAGTTCATTCAAATGAATTAGAATGAACTAAATCATCATTCCACCAACACTTTTAAATGTGGCTCATATGAGTTTGAGTACAAACCAAGTTCCTACATTCAAGCACACTCACTCATGTAGGTTCTGCCTCAACCCAAAAATGTGTTTCTTGTTGTTCATGAAAATGCATTGTTGGTTTCTCCATCACAATCATCTGATAATTAAATGGCATCTCCAGCTCCTCCAGAATCAGTGTAAGTCCATTGGATGTTTCAAGGTTTCACATCACACATCCACATGGTATCCTGCTGCTGCATCCAGGTGTTCAACTGGGACTAAAGGAGAGCATAAAGAAAGGTTCCCTCTGCAGCAGAAGGATGTGAGAACAAACAGCACTTCAATCATTCTGCACAGTGAAGCTCAAACATCCAGACGAGGTGACAGCTTTTTCACTGGAGGGGGGCTTTCAGTTTAGAATTCAAATGAAACATACGGAAACATACTCGTAATGTTGACATTAGTCATAAGAAGTAGCAATAATGAAAATACAAACAGTGGCCTGCATAGAACTCTGATCTATTAAACTGTTCTAACTGCAGAGTCATACAGTTCTCCTTAGAACAGTAGCTGATGTTCTTGCTTGGTCCAAGTCACCAGCAGAACATTCTGACAATAATGAGATCATTCTCGCATGATCAAAAATAACTATATACATTTGTTTCACAACTACAAGATAAGTTTGTTAGTTTGAGGTTGAGGTAGACGTTTGGGTGTAGAAATGTATCTTTCACTAAATCCAATTGTTTCAATTACCAGCTGCTTTGAGAACATTCCCAATCTCAAAGCAAGCACATACCGCATTCCAGTTATAAGAGTTACAATTTACTTTTACAGTTCAATGATACCTCTCTAACCACCAGGGGCGGTTCACAGAACATGTGGACATTATGGCCTTAGTCCCTCCCACAATAATCTTTATGAACAAGCTCTATTTTGATGCTTTTAAAATGCATGCTGGCACCTTATTTGGGTTGTATTCGATATACTTTTTATGAACAGTTGTTTTTCTCAACAGGATTTGTAAAAACGTGTCCATGCATTTATCTTCAGCAGACTGGACTACTGTAACGGTGTGTTTACAGGTCTCTGTAAAAAGTCAGTCAGAAAGCTGCAGCTGATTCAGAACGCTGCAGCTCGAGTCCTCACTAAGACCAGGAGGGTGGATCACATCACTCCAGTTCTGAGGTCTTTGCACTGGCTTCCTGTCCAACAAAGACTTGACTTTAAAGTCCTGCTGTTGGTTTATAAAGCACTGAATGGTTTAGGACCAAAATACATCTCTGATCTGCTGCTACCTTATGAACCATCCCGACCCCTTAGGTCATCTGGGACCGGTCTACTTTCTGTTCCCAGAGTCAGAACTAAACATGGAGAAGCAGCGTTCAGTTCTTCTGCTCCACATATCTGGAACAAAGTCCCAGAAAGCTGCAGGTCTGCTGAGACCCTCAGCTCCTTTAAATCAAGACTGTTTGCTGCTGCCTTTAATTGAACCACATTCAAGGATATGAATCCATTTCTGCATTTTAGTACTGTATTTTATTTCTTACACTGCTTTCTGTTTCAATGACTGTTTTTAATGTTTCAATGAATGTTCTTAATTGTTTTTAAATCTCCTTTTCTTTTGCCTTATGTTTTGATGCTTTTAATGGTTTTATGTGAAGCACTTTGAATTACCTTGTTGTTGAAATGTGCTATAAATAAACTTGCCTTGTCATGAATACTTTCACACAGAACGTAATTATTGCCGATTTTTCAGAACTTTTGACCTTGAATAAGGCATCAACCATCCTCCTTCGGAGGATGCAGCCCCTGAATTGAGACACAGCTCCTAATGTCAACAACATGAAGGCTCCGAAGTACTTTATCACTTGTTTCAAGCTAAATAAAGGCATTGCAGACCAGATCCACTCCTTCCATTCTTACCTTTCACAATAAAAGCACTAGACATATATACACTGCATAACTGTTTACTAGAGGGAACTCAAATTCACTCAGAGTACTGTTTAGAAGTGTGGAAGCTACTTCTCCATACTCAGTGTATTACTGCAGGAGATGAAGTTTGGAGAACCAGCACAGGAGAACCAGCACAGGAGCAAAGCAATGTAATGCTGTGATGTGTTTTAGACACTTAAATTAATCAGTTTAAATATAGCTATATTTAGAATATTTTAACAGCTTTACCTTGCTGACTTGCAAGACTTCTTTGACTAAAACTGTAATTTTACATCACAGAACGCAGGAGAGTTGCTAGTCTACTGCTGCCTCGATTGGTTGGGTTGTTTCTTATATTGTGTGACTTTGGTAAACCTGAACTAACATAAGGTAAGTCACACAATAACACAAACAAACTAACTGCTTAAAGCAGCAGTAGACCAGCAACTCCTGTGTTGTGAGAGGTAAAATTACTTTTTGGTAACACTTTCTATGAAGCCCATGTCTCTGTAACGCATTATAAACTTCCTTATAATCTGCTTATAAGACTGCATAATCATGGTGATAAGCACTAATAAATATTACTAATGCTTTATAACAATAATCACAACACATTATAAAACATTTCTTAATCAAGTATCACAATACTTAATTTCTAATCACTCACTGACATTCCCACTGTTGTAATACAGTATACTGTCTTTAGTCATAGATATTGGTTACTTTCGTGTTTATTCAGAACAAAAGACAGAAAATATGGGGTGAATCTGGTCTGAGGTCAGTATGAAAGAAGGAGGGTCATGAATCAGTGTGGTGATTGGTCCTGTCAGAGCTGCTCTCAAAGCTTCTTGGATGAGAAAGTAGGCCAGACTGGTGTTCAGTGTGTCCTCAGTAAAGGCCAACCATCCAGCCAGGAGAGTAACTGCCTCACCTCATGTGGCAGAGATTGATTTGGATTTGCTGGATTTGTGGAGGATCAGGACTTCCTGATCTCCAAGTGAAGACACAGGTGGTTGAGTTCAATGAAAGGTGAACAAGCCAGATAGGTTGTGTTTAGTCAACTGAAGCCACAGTGCTGGTCAGGTAGCTTGATATCACTTCATGTATAGCTCCTATTAGCCTGACTGAATGATGGGCTGTCTTATATCTGCATGTATTTCATGATCAAGACAAATCAACTAAAAAGATTTATAGATCGATTCATGTTTTCTTTCTTTCTTTCTTTCTTTCTTTCTTTCTTTCTTAATACAATAAGAAAGTTTGAAGCTTGGTGTTTATAATGTTTCTCTTTATACTGGCAATGTAAGCATTAAAAGAAGCAATGTATCCTCACACAACTGTTCATATAATCTCTTTTAAAAAGTAAATCCTACTAAAGTCCAGCAATTTCAGCTCGTTTTACGCATACAGTCTTTTCAAAATAAACTTCCGTCTTAACAGGAAACTACTTAGTTAGGTTTAGACAACTAAACCAGTTAGTTAGGTTTAGGCAACACAACTACTTAGTTAGGTTTAGACAACAAAACTACTTAGTTAGGTTTAGACAACAAAACTACTTAGTTAGGTTTAGGCAACAAAACTACTTAGTTAGGTTTAGACAACTAAACCAGTTAGTTAGGTTTAGACAACAACACTACTTAGTTAGGTTTACAAATAAATTAACATTGACTTATCGTTCCTCACGGGGAACGAAAAGCTGTCCCCTGGTTTGAAAGACTGTTTTTTTTTGACCCATGACCCTGGGTCTGGTTTGTGATTACGCGGATCACATACAAAATCACATACAAAATAATTTTGTGGGATATCTACGAAGTATAGCGCGTTATATTTCATACTAGGTATCGCTATAAACGCTTGATGAGAACTACCTGAAAGGAATTAAGGTGTCATTTGAAGTGTAAGAGCTAAAAGCAGTTGGAATCAGTTAATATGTATTCACTAAAATGTCAGTTCATGTCTGAACTATGAAAGCAGTTGACTTGTCATCTGTGAAGTGAGCAGTGGAAGCAGTTAAAATGTCAGTTTACTTGTGTACACTGTGAATACTTGTAGTATCAGTTGGTATGAAAGCAGTGACAACTGAAATGTTAGTTGAAGTATTGAACAACTTTCTTTCAAAGAAGTAGTCCCCATGAATACTTCAGACAGTGTGTTGTGTAGATTGCCCTGAGTAACACTGGACTGTCTCTGCAATGAGGTGTTGATTTTTTTAGAGGTGAGGTTTTTGTAGTTTTGGTGAACCGACCAAGTTACAGAGTGGAACGATGGTGTTGACCCATCATACTCTACCGTACCATCATCATCCTCATTAAGCTTCCAAAAACTGTACATTAAAAGTATGGTCTGTGTGCACAATATGCAAAATGTGTTTTTAAAATCGATATACCATCACACCCAGGAATTCTGGGAAGACCCTGCCAAATAATAATTAATCATTAAGTAATCATAATAATGTTCTGATCATTTCAAATGAAATTTATTTTCATTACAAAATCAACAACAAAAATCATAAATCGCCAGAGACATGCGTAATAGCTCAAACTTTTTTTTTTAATAATACAGAACAAACGGAAACCGCAGCGTCTCACTTGCCTCCATGATTGGGTGGTCAGAAGAAATTCCTTTCACATACTTCAAACCTTTTGGTATTTTTTATGTATGATGTTGGCTTCAGGATGCACTGAGACAAGATTAACCTTCTACCTTTAGTGTTCCACTTTAAGGGAAAAATTAAACATTTTGCAGAGAATTCATAGGCCTGGCCCTCTCTCTATGACATTGTTTTATTGAGTTCTTTCCAAAGAAATGCTGTATATAGCTGCTGTGATGTCTTGTTATTGTGATTTCAGTTACTGTGTGTGTTTACCATGGAACAGTAACACAGACTGGTTTGTACATTCACTCATCAAACTGGTATCTGGCTCATTTACTGCAGTGGCCCAGTCACACCAGCACTCACATCACATTCTATTCTTTCCTACCAGATTCAACTTTGGTGAACTTCTTTAAACAAACTCTAGTTTAGCTAGCCTCTGGTGCTGCTTCACGGTTTTTCTGATGTGACCAGGCCAATAGAAAGCCAATCTTTGAGACAAAAGGTGACAATTAAATGATAACTTCCAATTGATTACAACTTGGGTTTGATTTCTTTGTAATATGTATTCACTTTTATTGGTTAATTCTCAGATATGGGAGCATGGCGACATCACTGCAACAAAGGTCTAGACGGACGAAACAATCAGTTAGATGTTCAGACAGGTTGGGAACAAACCAATAGTTTATCTGAACCACTTTATATGGAGGTCACGCTGAATGTCAGTAATAATATGTTGAAGCAGGAAGTGGGATGTGAACTGTGATGAATGTTCACAACAGACGGTTTGAGTCCTTCCAACTAACCTGTTGGTTTGTTCCCATCCGGCCTGATCATGTGACTGAGTCACTGTGTTCACAGATCTGTTTGTCTTACTGATCGATGAAGACCCAAGGAAAATCATTTGCTGTTATTCTTTAAGGAAAATAAGTGTTGAGTGAGTGCTGATTTTATGTGAAAGTGTTTTGTATGTACAATTCTTGGTTATTTATCATCATGAAAATTATAGTTTGAAAGGCTTTTTTATGTATCAACTCTTCAATGAAACATTCAGAAAGAGACAGTGTATGCGATCACATTTGGCCTGACTTTATCTCAAGCTCTTTTACCTTCATTATCCCTAAATATGTACAAAAAAATCCAGTCCAATTAATAATAATCTCTTACATGTTTTACAAAAGGGACCTTGAGTAAACTTCATTGGTTTGAAAACACAATCGGATCCTTGTGTCACCATGAGCAATACTGAGGAAGCATTTGCAGGAATGATATCTTCATAATGCATGTATCTGGTCAGTATTTTCCTTCTCATGTTCCTGGTTCATCCATGTAACCATCATCATCATCTTACTCATACGCACAGTCATACCTGCCAATAGAAACACACACACACACACACACACACACACAGTAAAAATATGATGATCAGGAACTCTTCGGTTGAAGAGTTGGTTTGCTGTCAATATAATACACACTAAATAGTACAGAGGTCACAGTACATTTACAAAAGATAATCTGCCCGAGGCAACTAAAAAAGCACTGTCAGGCCTCTCCAGCATCATCCACACGTTTCTCTGGCTTCTCAGAAATGAAATGAAAGACCAGTCGTTTTTCCTTCTTCTCTCATGTTGATGTCTGAGAGGAAAACAACTGTGAAAAACACTCCAGAGCGGGCTTCCCTTCTACTACTTTGAATGTTCGCCTTCATCCCATTTCACATAGTCTGTCCATGACTCCAGTTCCTCCAGGTTTGGATGGGAAGAGCAACAAGTCTTCCAAATGTCACTAGTGTACACAGTGTTCTGTTTCCTCCTCGAATGACTTCAGTGCATACAGAAGAGACACGCGTCTACTCTTTGTTGCATTGGTTGGATGTTTTTATGGAGTAAGGCCATAATTCTGAAAATAAAAACAAAATTAGCAGTTCTGTGTGGCATGCTGTTGTCGGGTGTGTCAGAGACAAAGGAGCACCTCCGACCCTTAAACACCATGTTCTATCAAGCTTAAGGACTGTGTCATGTTTCACACATTCACTGGCAAACTACAATCTCTGTGCCCTGTTCCTTTCTTCCACCTGAACTCCACTTCAAGCTAAGGTTCTTTTTTAAGAGCGCTACAAGAAAGAAGCAGTTAATCAATTTTTAGGTTTGTGCAAAAATAGAGCAGTAGATGTCCTCGTATCTTCAGAGCTCTGTGTGTGGTAACGATGAGTTCGTTTCTACTGTACCATCAAACTCAACAAGATAGTGACTCCAGATTTATCTTGTAATCTAAGATTTCGTGCCAACCACCGTGGCTCCATTTTGAACAGCTTAGTTGTACTGTGACGTCATGATAGGGACAGCTGTGCTAAGAAATTGTATTGACTATCAGTTTTTAAACACTTTTAATGGAGTAAGTGAGAATTTGGACTTTATCTCATAATATTGACCCGAAACAAATAAATAAAAAAAGTCAGAATTTGGATTTATTACCTCTCATATTGATTTGCATCATCAATGCTATGAACGGGTAAAGATTTTCCAGCAGTATGTGATTCCTGATGGCTGACAGAAGATGGATGTGAATAAGTTCTTGTTTGGGGGAGACCGTCTCTGTGTTTTGGTTGTATATTTGAACAGATCTCTTGATATCTAATGTTGCAAGAAAACGTCCCTCAAGCTGGAGAGCTAGCAGCACTTCTCATTGCCCACTTACATCGTCCATAGCAGTTCTCAGTAAAAGTTGTGTTACAGATGTTACTTAAGATGTTTGCCCTCAGGGAACATTCTAAATAAATAAAGTTTTGTATCGAGGTGTATTCCAAGCCTGAAGTCCTCATAGTATGTTTTCTGTTGCACGAGTGAGCAACGACAACAAAGCGCTTTAGGCTACCATCACTGGCACAGATGGAAGTTTAGTGTTTTACACTGACAAACGGAATGGAAATATGCCAAGAGGAAAATCCTGTCTGTTACGTCACATTCTTTACTCGGATACTGACATTTACTTTGCGGTATCATTTTACTTATTAATCTATCCATCCATTGCCTCTTCTCCTTCTTATGCAATAATAATAATAATAATAATAATAATAATAATAATAATATAATATATATACTATATATATATATATATATATAAACATATATATAAACAGTTGGGATTTCAATCAAGATCTGATTCCTGCTGGGCTGTTAGAGATCACCCAGGCGAGGAGGTAACTTGAGATTTCATACAGGAATCCTCGTCACATAGCTGAGATTCACAGGAATAGTAAAGACTAAAGGTCCAGTAACACCAGCATTTGATATGGCTGCATTTCAGAGTGAAATCGGTTCCTTTCAATGGATTTAATGTAGTCAGGTGATCAACACATGGAGGCAGAACAAATCCACGCAGCGTTTGTGAATTTGACACACTAATGTGATTGGCTGATAGGTAGAAAACTGTCTAGACCTCACAGCTGTGCCTCCTTCCAGCTTCATACAACCCTCCTCTGCCAAAGTACTAACTAATACACTGAGAATTACAAGCATACGGAAAACATGTTTCGGTCACATGATCAATGTGATAACACATACATTGCAGCTCTACTTTACTGGTTTAAATGGATGTAGCTCTGTCATCAGACATTTGTACTGAACAGTGAAGGAAAGCTGTAGTTTTTCTATCATAGAGGAGAAGTGACAGAAACAAACAGGAAAAACTAACTTTTCTGTTTGTACATGACGACAAAGACAAACAAAATGTATTCAATACTGATTCCAATCCAATTGTCAACAATTACAGCTTACATACATTCACAAGTGAATTCTCTGCTGCAGAAACACAAGCTGCTCTGATAGAAACAGAACGGGCACATAACAGCGTCTGTGGCAGCTGTGACGGAGACACTGAAGGTCTTGTGTTCCGCTTTGGGCAGGTTCGTTTTTTGTTCCATTGAGGGAATTTTTGAGGTCATTACAATTTAAACTTCACAACATTCAGATGCTTAAAATAGCATAAAGTAAATGAAGTCCACTGGGTAGCCACTGGGAAGCTATTGCAGCATAGCTATTGGAGATCTGTCAGGTAAAGAAAATCTGAGCTTCTAAGAGAAGCATTTTAAGCAAATGGGCACTTTGTTCAGATTCACACCTCTGCTTTTTATCGCTTCTTCTCTTTTGTCTTCAAGTGATGCACAGAATGAAAATAACACGTGTATCAGTAGTAGAATTTCTGCAGTTTGAGAAATAATATATATGATCAGACCGCAGAAGATTCATCATCATGATCATAAAAGCTGGTGCCTATTACTTGTTGGTGTTTCTGTCACTGATGCCTTTCTTTCCTCTACTAAGTTCAAGAATCCAGTGTCCCCAGAACCCCCCCCTCCCCCATGTACTAAAACTTAACAGAATTGATTTAAAAATCATTTTCAGGCCAGAATATGAACATAAGCGTCTCTACATGGGTAAACAGCTGAACAAGAGTCTGTCTTTGGATAGAGTGAAAGAAAACCAAAACCTCACGGACCCCTGGAATTATTTTTCTTCCAACAATGATGTCAAGTACCAAAAATTGAAGACTTATAAAATAGGTGCAGTTAGGGGTCATCCCTGTGGCTTAGAGGTTAAGACGCTGAACAGCAACATCCTCTGTTCAAATCAGTCCAGGGACCTTTGTTGCATCTCTCTCTCTGTCTCCCTCCAGTCCTCTCGTCTCTAGCATTATCTGCCTTTGCTAACTAATCCAGCATGTTAGGGACATTTAGACTAGAAAAGTTGCTGCTTTGTCATTAGGAATCTTTTTGTCACCAAACCAACTCAAATATCCTTTGGGTCAATCCGAGATTTTTCTATTTGGCCATTTTGGCTTTGTTTATGAAGCATCTCATGCAGTTTGTTGTCTGGCTTGGTTTCCACAGTGACTGCATTATTACTTGCATGTGTTGCAATTTAAGTATTTTTCTCTTGTTATTGTGTATGCTTTTTGAGAGAAAAAAGGTTGGTAGATGGAAATACATGCTTACCATTCCAGTGTTTTAACCATTGCATTCACTAGTTTGCACCCACTGCTTACAAGTAGCTTGCATCGAATCAAACGTCACATTAGCTCAGGCAAACACTCCCCCAACATCAGTCGGCTGCCCCTTGGTTTCTCTCCATGCTTTGCTCATCATCTCTGCTTACATGACACAATAAGGCTCTCGTGGCAGATGAGGTTTAGTCCTGCAGCAGGCTGGTAGGTGGGAAAGGAGCCCTTTCTTCAAGTCTTTGTTAAGGAAGAAACAGACAATAGGGTTGACCCCGGCTTGGGCGAAACTCATCCACACGGTGGTGGAGAGGTATCGGTGTGGTATTGTGCAAGCCTTGACAAACACCCTCCAATAGCAAGCCACTATGTAGGGAGACCAGAGCACCAGGAACAGCAGGGTGATCACGTAGAACATCCTGCCAAGCTGCTTCTCCGCTTTGAACTCCTCCATGCCCAACAGGCGCCGGTTCTGGTTGTGCAAGTTCTGCCGGATTCCCAGCAGAGTCGGCGGCATCGGGCCCCTGCCAAAGCCCGCAATCCAGTTTGCTGCCGCTTGCCCAGTGGCCCCCGGCCCGTGGAAGGTCCAGTTCTGACTGATGGCCGGCACCATCTGGACCGGCTTCATCTTACGGTGCTTGTACTCAAAGAGGAGTAACTTCATGTAGACAACGTGTGTGGCTAGAATGAGCACAGCCAGCATTAGCATGAAGCCCAGCGTATCATTAGCCTTGAAGTAGCGATGCTCAAAGATGCACTGGTCCTCCTCGCGGATGAATTTGTATGTGCCCACGTCAAAAACTGGCGGGAAAGCCATTGCCACCGACAGTGTCCACACCATGCACACCACTGCAACACATGTCCAGAACGTCATGCGTTTCGAGTAAAAGCGGTGGTGTGCAATGGCCATGTAGCGTGTTACGCTGATACAGAACAACATGAAGGCTGCATGGAAGCAGAAGAGCACTGCCATGAAGGCCACCACCTTGCAGCTCAGCACGCTGTAGGTCCAGGCTGAGCCGTTCTTTATAGACACCAGCACGAAGGGGAAGCAGATGGCTGAGCGAATGGTGTCGGCCAGGCACAGGTCCAGCAGGAAGTAGTAAGGTGCCTTGTGCAGGGCTCGGTCCCGCAGTACGAGCAGAGACACCACCAAGTTGCCCACCAGGCTGATGCAGATGATCAGCCCCAGCAGCACCAGTTTGATATAGGTAGAGACAGCCGAGGACGGGCTCTCTGCTACCATACCTCCTGCCGTAGCCACCACTGCTGCTATGGGCCCAGCCGGCCCTTCGCTACTCTCGTTTCTATTCGCCATCCCGAATGCCCCCCCACCCATACCAGCTTTTCTTCAAACACCAAAGCCACCACTCCTTCGCCGCCTCCTCCTCCTCCGTCTGCTGGTCGTTCCTCCGTCCTCGTGGTTGCTTCCTTTCCGCAGTTCACAAGGAACAGGAACACCTCAATCCACATCGCCCCATTTCGAGAAGGGTCCCTTGGTTGGTGTATTATGTCGTCTCACCTCCTGATCCGCTCCAGAAGCCTGAAAACAATTGGAGAAGACAATTAATTTGGAGTTTGGATAGTTCTCTGTTACGTGTGTGTGGAGAGTCATTTCAGTCATTCAGGTAGTACCACCCCAACATTCTGAGAACACTGCTAACTCAACATAAACATTTCTAGCAAGGAGTCCTAGCCTAGGAGTGATTTAGGAAACATCTCAGAGCAACTCTGAGCAAGGGATCTCAGTGAGGTGAGGTTGACCATGTTGCTAGGTATGACACATTGTTTAAGGTGTGAGGGATTGATGCAATCTTAGTGATAATGGGCATGGAATGGACAGTGAAATCAAAAGGCTTAGTCATAGAATTTAGTCTCTACTAAGACACAGTGTAATTATCAATACTATTTTATGTAATGAATATCTGTTGAATAAATTGAGAGCCGTACTTTAAAAGAATACGGAATGTTAGAAAACACGGGCCTACTTATACAGTAACGCACATGCTGATAGCTGTTATATTTATTCGTTTACGGTTATTCATCGTGCTGGAGATTTTAGTATGTAATCTATTTCATGACGTCATTCAGCGAGAATATTTCTCCTACTTCTTAGTCTTTCCATTGTTTTCTCAGAGTCAGTCATTTCATAGGACGGTAAATTTCTGTTTATATTTTTTACCAATTGTTAAAATCTGCTTTAAGCTTGAATAAACTCCAATCGTTCAATTACATATTTAAAGTGCTGTGATCTGTGAACAGTCATCATATAGGTGTTACAACATCACATTGCACCCTCACCTCTTTTTAAAACTGCACAGATCTGTTTTCTGCCCACTTGTGCCCAGCACTCCACAAAACACAGAACATCTTGCACCCATTTGACATATAATGGCCTTATAATGTTGAAATGGCAAACAATCATTAGGAATGGCGTTCATGTCCACCTGATGAATGTAGGTCCAATATTTACTCTCACTTGTTTTTTTAGTCTCCATCCACTCCTGAGGAAACATCTGTCTGCTTAGCTGCTAAATGCTCCGCTGTGTTCACCAGCTAGTCTCTCACTGAGTCGGTCTGCTGTTGCATGCGGGGCTGCTAGAGTACAGGGGCTTTATCACAGCTTTGTCACTGCATCCATGTGGCCACGAGGGTCCGAGTGGTGCAAGTTGTGTCTCTGCCCATATGGAGGTGAATCAGTGATACATTCAGGGCAATGGAGTTATTATATGAAAAATATACAATATTATCACATAACTAGAATAAAAAAGACGCTTTTGAGAAATTAGAATTACAATCCAAATATTGAAACCCAGGCAAGGCTAGAAATGAATGTGGAAATCGTTTTACAACGTGCTCAGTGGCAGCCTGTAAAAGGAGGTTTTAATGTGATGCACGTAAAATATTAAAAGTAGAAAATAAGAAATACCTAATGCGGTCTAACTGACCAACATTTTTGTAATATATTGGGAGATGATATTTTTATGATGAAAGATAACTGAGTATACTACACTATAAAGTTGCCTCATGTTACTCAGATATCTACATCCGTGATATCTCTAAGCTTTAGGAAGCAAACTACCTTGTAGGTGCACTTTGATGATCCACAAGCACTTTGTTGACCCCTTTGTTGAAGGCTGACCCCTGAAACCTTAGCCTCCGTTAGGACTGTTAATAATTGATAGGGACGGAAAAGCTGAAAGATGAAAAGCTTAGGAAGCAGAGCTTCTACAGTGCTGCACTGTAACAGAGGTTAGTAAGTAAACCCTACGTACATTTGTCAAACCAAGCACTAAAGCTGGATTTATAGTTGTGCAGTAAGGGGTTACATTGGAGGTTTGGAGCCTACACATGGAGCCGCAGTAAGAACTGTGATTGGTCAGTACAGCTGTCGCAAGGGGTGTACAACTCCAACATCCTTTAAAAGCTATGTGATTATTCTCTCCTGGGTTAAGATCTCATGAGCCAGGTCAGTGTGCTCCGGATTTAGAGCAATCCTATACAGCGGACTGTTTAATGTACACAAATGTGACAGTTTGACAACATGTTCTGATTCCTCCTTAAACCGACTAAATTGTGAAATGGAAGGAATTGGTCTACTAAGGCACCGCTTCACATTGAGTGACGCGCTGAGCACGTCTGAACTCGGGACATAAACATACAAGACCTGTTCCCAAAGTGGAGGATACTCAGAGATAGAACTCCAAAGGAAACAACTACAGCACTTCAAACCCTCAGAGGTTCTGTGAGACTGTGCCATAAGGAAAGAGCAGCTATTCAATGAAACAAATCAAGAACAATTTGTGTACATCAGTGGCTCAGGACAGACAACCAAAGTTATAGTTAAGGGTGCATAATATGAGATTAAGAGCCTTGTATTGCTCTCAACAGCTCTAATGGCCACGCCTGAGCCAACGTCTCATAGGTAATGGTGCTAACAGCGCTAACAGTATAACCTTTGTCCTTTGTGCTGACAGAGCTAACAGTGTTGACCTGAAGGGGAACAGAAGAGTGGGTGCTATGCTATCAACTGTTGCATGTGTACAGATTGTAAAGCCCTCTAAAACAAATTGGTGATTTGTGATATGGGCTATACAAAATAAGTTGAATTGTATCGTATCGTAACACGTCTATCGTGATACGTATCATATCGTGAGGTGCTTCCGATACACAGCCCTATTTTTCCACACATGCCAAAGAAGTCCTTAGTGCTCAGAAAAAGGGAAAGTTTGAACAGTTCAAAGACAACTGAACAACTGATCAGTTGATGAAGACTCTGCAATATGGTCAAAAGCTCCAAAGCTGAGGAGGTGGACCTTAAGTGGAGGTGTTTTGTCAAATGCCATGTGGTTGGAGTATACTGCTGGGCGTTTTCTCATTTCCAGCTAGAGGTATCTGTTACCCTCAGATGGTACTATTACTCCCTTCACCCAAGTACTGAAGTGAATTCAACTTAATGTGAAAAATGAATAAAGTGAACAGAAATGTGTCTTTCATAAACCAGCGTCCTCTGTCACTGTGTAGAACACAGTTTGTCCTTACAGCAAATTAGCAATTGTTAGCATTGCTAATTAGCAATTGTTAGCATTGCTAATTAGCAATTGTTAGCATTGCTAATTAGCAATTGTTAGCATTGCTAATTAGCAATTGTTAGCATGCTCAACACTAAACTGAAAAGATGGTGAAAATGGTAGCTTGAAGTTTTACCTGCAAAAAGTGTTAGCATGCTGATGTTAGCGTTTAGCTCAGAGAACCACTGTGCCTAACTATAGCTACTAGCTACAGACCCTTTAACGCAACAGGAGAGGCTGCAACGTTTCTGCCTACAAATAAAGAGATGAAAGCAAAATAAAACCTCTGACAAATGTCTCAATGAAATACTTAATTAACCTCTAGGTTGGTATGTCGAAGAGTAGTTTCATATCAGCTCTTCTTGAGGATGAGTGGAGCCTTTGAGGAAAATGTATTTGAAAAAAGCCAACTTGAAGACATCACTTGGCGCTCCATTAAAGGACAAGCTGAATATGAACAGAAAACACCGCGTGATGAACGATGAAGATGTTTATCAAATCCACATCAAATTGATGAATGAATAAATTACACTTTCATCAACTGTTTGAATCAGGTTGCAGTCCTCATAGCTCCACAGGCTGGGAGCAGAGAGACTGAGAGAGGGGCTGTGTGTGTTGAAGGAGGGGCTTTGCAAAGCTGGAAGTTGGTTGGCGGTGGAGGGCAGAGTCACTGTCAGGAACTGGGTAGCAACAGCAGCCCAATACCTCTGGCTTGATATCGGTGGGAGGAGGCGACAAAGCTCACTGGATGAGATGTAGACAGAGTTGTTCTCTGACAGCGGGGCCCAGCATCAGGCCTTCTCACACAGAGCCTACAGGTCTGATGAGGACTGGAGAGCCAGCAGCTGCTGCAGTCCTGCATTAAGGAGTCCGGGTGGCTTAAAACCACACACACACACACACACACACACACACACACACACACACACACAC